AGGAGGCTGAGGCAGGAGAATTGCCTGAACCCAGGAGGCGGAGGTTGCGGTGAGCCGAGATCGCGCCATTGCACTCCAGCCTGGGTAACAAGAGTGAAACTCCGTCTCAAAAAAGAAAAAAAAAAGAAAGAAATAATATAGGTGAACTTCTTGACCTACTTCAGAGGTTGGAGAGGAGCTCATTGAAAATAATATATCCAGTCTATCCTTCATAGGGGACTCAAGCATATCCTTTGACTATAGCGTTACTTTCCTATTCACAACCAGCCTCGTTTCTGTTCAAGCAACTCATCTTCAATTATCTATTGCAGACAGCAATTAGTGAAAACTATCAAACAATGTCAGATACCACATTCAAGGCCTTGCGCCGGCAGCTTCCAGTTACCCGCACCAAAATCGACTGGAACAAGATACTCAGCTACAAGATTGGCAAAGAAATGCAGAATGCTTAAAGGCTGAATGTAGAATTCTCCAGTATGTGGAAAGACAAGGATTCAACATGTGGTCATATGATAAATAAGTGATTTATAAACAAGAGTGATATTTTGCTAGGGCTTTCAAAGTTAACCAGTTTTCTAGCCTCATGGAATACTGTTGAACCTATAGCATTGTCTTGATTCTTTTGTGTTCTCTGCCTTGTAATTTTCTGTTATTGCTATATCTACGTGTAAATTTTTTTTTTTTTTTGTTAATTCTGCCACATTTAATGTTGGAGAGAGAAAGATCTATCCTAGAGACATTTTACTGTTTAAAAAAGTTTCCTAGCCATGAAGCCCTGCTACTGATTTAGACAAGGTATTACGGTCATTACTTTCTACCCCTATCCTTCCAAGCTCCAAGCACTTCTGGTACTTCAGTGGTTTTTACTGATCCACCAACACCTAAAAAGACTATGCTACAATCTATAGCTAAATGGAAGACACATTCATCCTTCTCCCTCTGACTGCTTTGATCATCATTTATTGCATCTCATAACTGTAATTTTCCAAAGTTTGGATTGGGACTTTTCAGGTCCTTTTTGGAGGGCAAAGGAAGTGCCAGCTTCTCTGGGGAACTTGTTTTTAAATCCAAAGACTTGAACCACATTCCCTGCACAGAACGTGTTTGCTTTTATCCCTTCTTCCATTGTCTCCTTCCCATTTTAGTACCATTGTAGTTATAGACATCTGCATTTTTAGAAGGGTTTTACCCATTTATTTTTTTTAAACATTCAAGAACTGCTGACATACTGTGGATATAGAGTATAAAACTTGAAAAATGCAGATGTTGAAGGAATAATAGGTATCTTGTGCTTTAATACTTTATGGCAGGATTGTACTATAAGCAAATGAATTAAACAGCTATGTAAATCACAAACAAAAAGTAAAAATGAACCAAAGTGAAAAGGATAACTTCCAGGCAGTATCTTTCTATTGTAACCTGTTATTTAAGGAAATACTAGTGATTTATTCTAAATAGGATGTAAAACTTATTTCAAATTACTCTTCCTCTGTCCTACCTGCCAAGAACTCAAGTGTAACTGTGATAAAATAACCTTTCCCAGGTATATTGGCAGGTATGTGTGTAATGTCAGAATACACAGGTGACATAGATATGATATGACAACTGGTAATGGTGGATTCATTTACATTGTTTACACTTCTATGACCAGGCCTTAAGGGAAGGTCAGTTTTTTAAAAAATCAAGTAGTGTCTTCCTACCTATCTCCAGATACATGTCAAAAAAGAAAGGTGTTTGTGCTTCAGTTTTGTTTTTGCTCAGTAATATAGTCAAGCAACAGTTTGTTTCTAAGTGACCCATTGAGCTGTGTATGCATTTTTATTTCAAATAAAATATATTTGTATTATTTGTCATTCATACTATCCATCCATACCACACTATCTTCTGTATCAGGTAGTCTAATAGAAATATACCTGTTTTGTTCTAAAATTGTCTGAGTTTCTCCTTTTTGATTCATCGCTTCAGCCTTTGTTCTCAAGGTAAGATATTCAGGTGTATTTGATCTTATTTGTTGAGAATGATTAGGGTTTCTGAAATTGGTTTCTACCTTCAACTTTTATAGACTCAGTGAATATCCAAAGATTTGTAAAGAACAGCTAATTTAAGCGTGAGCAATATCTATGGATCATGCTGCTCTTCACTCAGAGACTACCCGTTTTTCAAAGGGAAAAATGTAGTTGTCTTCTGTACCTGTCATTCAGAAAGCAAGGCCTAAGTATGGTCGTAGTCACTAGGCAGAGGTAGAAATGAAAGAATCCCTGCCTTAAACTTGCTAATATTTCACGTTGGGTTATCTCGCAATGCTGCTTTCCTCCTCTTAGCTGGCCTAGCTACAGACTTGCGGGAGAGGCTTTTTTTTATCCTAGTTCCCAAAAAGGAACCAGAGGGAGTTTTATGCTTCCTGTACTCCATCCAAGGCCAGTTCAAATTCCCACCTTTTTGAGAAACATTTAGCTACATTCCATTCTCCTTGTAATGCAAATAGATTCAAACATTCTTGCCTTTAATTTATTAACTCTCTCATCTTACCCCCAGGCTATCCCATTGATTCCTTAGCTTAGACTTTTTAAAAAATCTCTTAACCCCTTGACTATCTAAAGTTGTTACTTGCATAATTGGGAGGAAATCAACCCTCCTGACCAAGTCTGGCAGAGACACTCCCGCTCTGGCTCCCCCCTACCACCTTCTTAACCTCCCTTAGCAGAAATATTTGCTTGAATTGTATTTATTTTATCACAAGCTGCTGAAATCAGCCTGTTGTACCCTAGGGCAAAGATTTCCCAGCCATCTGGAAAAGAGTTTTTTGTGGAGCCTCCCTCCTGTATTTGGTTTGAAATGGCACTGCTGAAGACTGTTTCATCTGAGCCTCAGTGATTATCCCTCTATTGCTTGCCTAGTTCCAATGCCTGTTCTCTTTTATAATCTAAGACTTTGGTGCTGGACTCATCTAGGTTTATGGGATACTTGGCAAACTTTTGGCATATTTTGGCATATTGTGTACCTGTCATTCAGAATGATAAAGAATGATAAATATTTAAATGCCAACTTGTAAGTTTACAATTATCTATAAAACTACCAAGTAAACCAAATACTTGTGATCATTTTCTCATTTTTCAGCTACCTACTATGAAAAAGGAAGATTAGTAAGTACAGAACAAAGCTGGATTGTCCTATAGTTTAAACTGAGATAAATTTCTCCTTTAAACAGATAAGGTATATATAAAGGCACAGAGTATATATAAGCTCTTTGAACACAAAAACAAATCTCACATCTCTTAAAATCCAAGGTATCAAAAAGCATTCTGTTATGTATAAGCATATACAGTTGATTCTGGTTATTCAGCGTGGTTAGGTTCTGTAAAGTCACTTTGAATACTGACTTAGTGAGTACTGTAACTCATTCCTGAATGAAGTTTAACAGGAATTTTCCCTGTAAAGCCTTCCTGTGCTTAGGAACACGGGACCACACTTAAGCACTACACTTGGTGGCCATTTTAAGTAGTGAAATCACCAGCAAAAAGCACAAGAATTCAACAAGCGTGGCACTAGATAGACCATGGAAAGGGCACTTTACAATACAAGGGCTGAAATCTGCAGTGCACTGTGTCAGACCTCAACTGGGAACACACACATTGGACAACAAGTTTTTTGTCGCTCTGTGTGTGTCCATGAATGACCGCAAAGGCACTACATGTATTGATTTGGGGATTACAAATACATTTTAGTGAGAGGTGCATTTGCAGGTAGGATCAACTACAATTGCCACAGCCTCTCTTTTGGTTTATGGTAGACTGGCCAGTCTAAAAAGTATTTCGATTTTCTGGGAGGGCCATGGGTTTATTCCAGTAACACTGTTGGCCAGTTAACTTTCAGACTGCCTTCAACGCATGCCTAAATCAACCTCATTTCTTTTAATTAAGGTAGATTCATGTAAACATAGATGGATTTAAGGAAGAAATCAAGGAAGTGAAACTTGAGCTGGATGTGAAAGGTGAGAAAGGAGGCCATTTTAGACATCTAGAACAGCATGTGTGAAAATGTTACTGGAAAGGGGTCCTGGGTCCCATGCAGGAAAAGAATTAGGGATGAGTCTATAGAGTAAAGTGAAAGCAAATTTATTAAGAAAGTAAAGGAATAAAGAATAGCTACTCCATAGGCAGAACATCCCCAAGGGGCTTTCATGATCCCCTTTTGTGGTCATTTCCTGATTGTATGCTACACAAGGGGTGGATGATTCATGAGTTTTCCAGGAATGGGGTGGGCAGTTCCCAGAACAGGCTTCATCCCCCTTTTTAGACTGTATTGGGTAACTTCCTGATGTTGCCATGGTATATGTATACTGTCATGGTGCTGGTGGGAGTGTCTTTTAGCATGCTAATGTATTATAACTATCGTATAATGAGGCATGAGGACAGCCAGAGTTCACTCTCCTCACCGTCTTGGTTTTGGTGGGTTTAGCCAGCTTCTTTACTGCAACCTGTTTTATTAGCAAGGTCTTTATGATGTGTATCTTGTGCTGACCTCCTGTTTTATCCTGTGACTTAGAATGCCTAACCTCCTGGGAATGCAGTCCAGTAGGTCTCAGCCTCATCTTACCCAGCCCCTGTTCAAGATGGAGTTGCTCTGTTTAAACGGCTCTGACAATAACAATTAGAACCCCATGTGAAGTTGATTTTTCCAGATAAAACTTGTTTAAAGAAGTTCTATTGTAGACAAAGCCACATGCATCACATTTTTACCCAAGTTTTTACTATACTGTAGCTTTTTGTGTACGTTTTGAGAACACCCAAGAGAAGTCTGACCAGAAAAAAGAGAGTAGATTGTATCCAAGAATAATATGGATTTAGATTTGCTGGTCAGAATGGAGCCAGACATTCAGTTTGAGTATGGTAGATAGGTTTTTCAGATGGTAAGTAACAAAGCAATTTTGAGGAGTTCACCCTCTCTACTCTTCTGGAACCTCATCAGGACATTGAGGGAGAAAAAAAGGTAACATCTTTGGCTACTTTTCTAGTTTTTTCCTCTACTTTGCATAATCCGTTTCTAAAACAATGTTTTCCTCTGCTCTATTTTCCCCATCCCTGTAGCTTTGGTTCCCACTGACTGCATTTCCTGTTGCTAAAAACTGTTATTCCTGGCTTCAGTTGGTTGTTGGCCTGAGAGAAGGTACAAGTTGGTTGTTGGCCTGGAGTATGATCTGGGTTCTGGACTTCTTTTAATTCCTTAGATTGAATGTGTGGCCTCCTGCTGGTAACTGCTTTGGAGAACACCACTAGCTTTGATTTATTTGAAAGTGATATATTTGATTTAAAACTTTTTAGTATAACTTAGCTTGTCCCATTCTAGTGTGTGTGTTATTTCATTCTGCGAGGAAAAAAAAAATAGATGCAAAGGCTTGTTATTGTAGCCCCACCCCCTTTAATTTGTCTATACAGTCTTGTGAAACAATTGCGCTTCTCTTCGTGGTACCGTCACTATTAACTACACTTATTGCCTAACACAACAGTCCCTTACTCTGAAGATGCTAGCGTTTTGATGACTGGGGCCACCTTATATACCAGTAAAAAATAAAGAGCAATACAGACTGAAATGCAATTAAGCGCCCAAATATGTGGCTCAGGGGTAAGGGTCACCAGCCTTTCCACGTAATGAAGCCGGTGTGGCAGAGAAAAGCAATGACTGTTTGTCCTGGCAGAGCCCCTTGTCCCTCCCTCCCACACGTACACACCTTTATCTCAGAGACACTGGGTTCTTCTCCCTAAACTTATTTGACTCTTATGCCAACTACGTGCGTCTGAAAGCCCAAGAAGGGAAAATGGGGGAGGGGGCGTGTCGCCCGCTTCCACGGGTTTCTGTCCCTGGACGGCTGGGGGAGGCGCTGGATGAGCTTCCCCAGTCCAGCTGCAGCCGACCTAGGTCCCAGTCCTGCCCTTTGCTCTCCTGCTTTCCACTGAGTCCCCAGGCTCTAGAGGGTGGGCGTGAGAGTGGCCCTAGCGGAGGCTCGGAGGTCCTGCCGGGCTGTTCAGACGGCCCCAAGCGGTAGCCACGTTCTGATACTGGCTAGAAGCCAGGGGAGGGAGCTTGGGGTAAGGGGAGGGCCCTGAGGGAGGGGTCAGACGCTTTAGGAAAGAGTTAATGCGAAGAGGGGGAGGGGATAGGACGGAGAACCGAAGGGAAGACTCAGGTAAGAAAAGAACGTAGGAGAGAAGTCTGGTGGGGAGAAGGGAGCCCGCAGGATCAGGGGTCAGAGTTAGGGGGCTTCCCCTCTGCTGCACCCTCATCTCAGGGCCGCCAACTTCCAGCTGCAGCGGCGACTTTCAGTTTCATTTCCGCGGACCCTCCTGCCTGGGCCGCAGCCGCCGCCGCGATGCCCAGTAAGTTCAGCTGCCGGCAGCTCCGGGAGGCGGGCCAGTGTTTCGAGAGTTTCCTGGTCGTTCGGGGACTGGACATGGAGACAGATCGCGAGCGGCTGCGGACCATTTATAACCGCGACTTCAAGATCAGGTACGGGCCGGCCCATTCCCGGCCCTGAATCGCGGGCCCAGCTTGCTGCCACGACCCCCGCGCGGGGGCCACCTTTCCCGCCCCGGGGCGCAGAGGGACGCAGCTCCCCCCGCGGCTCGGGCCAGTCCTGGGGCGGCGCAGACCTCCCCTCCCGCGCCTCGCCCACGCCCCGCCAGCGCCGCCCGGAGCCCGCCCGTTCTGCCCGAGCTGGGCCCCTGCGCCAAGTCCCCGCGGAGAGCCTCCTGGGCTGCCCGCGCCCCCGGCGGTCGGAACGCAGGGCCGGGGGCCGGGTCCCGACTCCACGCGCCGCTCGCGGGGGCTGGAGGACAGCTCTCCCGGTGGGGGAGGGGAGCCCCCAGAGGGGGCCCAGGCATCGCGGGAGCGCGGGGAAAAAGCTGCCTGTTGCGGGCTGCGAGCCCAGGCGC